CTTGAGTTCAAACTTCATGCTCGCAGGCCAGACGGCTGGCGTCCCCATATAAAGAGGTACCAAAGTGGACTAGGTATATAGATTTAGTAGAAGATTGTCCTCGAAAATCTGGTAACGCTAAATAGACCCGATCGACTGGCGTTACGAACTTGCGGAATTGTAAAGTGTAGAGCAGTCACCCTTTCCGGTTTAGCATTACACTCGGTGCTTGACAACCAGAAATTCGGCCAAAGCTTCACAAACATTTGTAAGCATTAAGCAAGAGCAATCTTGCAGGAACTTACTCGGAGAAGTGTATCAAGCTGAATTACATCACACGTGCCCTCTTGCTTGCACTGGTCTAGCTTAGCAAGCCTACCTTAGCTTTACAGCCACTAGCTCAACTGCTCTATCCTTGTTACGGTTTTCTTGCACATGCACAACGTTGCTAGCTATGGGGTGTTATTCACAAGCTCTATCCGTGTAGAAAGCAATCAAATAAGCACTGTACACTGTTTAGCTGCTAGTCGATCTGTACAACAATGGCAATTTGACAAGGGAGAAGCGATAACTGGTTCTCCCATCCAGTGTTTATGTCTATGTACAAGTAAAAGCACGTCGAACAGAAGGCCTCAGCCAGTCATCATTTCTTATCGTCCTTCTTTGAAGTCTCAGCCTCTGAGACGGAACCGTTTGCTGTGGCAGAGGAGGTTTGAGAGCTCTCAAACCAGAATTGCATGAAGATACACCCCAGAATCGCCAGGTAAATCACCACCTTAGACCAGCGAATGGGATTCCCTGACGTGAAAGCTGCGCAATGGAGCAGATCCAAGGATCAGAAATCGGAGAAGCTCCTGTGTTCTGTTGTGCGGCAAGAAGACCCGGCTTCGAAATCCCGCTCTTGATACTGTGTTATCAACTCTTGCAACTGATCCAAAGCTGCGACAGTTTGAAAAGGCAAGATAAACAGGAACTCAAGAACATCTGTTGCGAAGCAGTGGACGTAGCGAGGAGAATTATGAGGACTCAACTCCAGCTCAGCAACTTTCATCCAACGAAATAGTGTTCACTATGCCTTACACCGATTCGACTTCATTCTAACGTGTGAGTCGGTTGCTCAGGAGTGCTTGCTTATGCCGCTGTCAAGACTGGAGGCTTGTATTCAAATACTCCCATTCTTTGCCGAACAATTTCAAACACAAGTAGACCATTAATATGTCAGGAATCTCCGAAATTTCAAGGAAAGAGTTTGTCTTCAACCCACCAGAAGGGTTTGCGACGTACTCTCGACACTAGTTATTCGAAAGTAACGCTGTGCAACAATGACACGAGGAGCTTATGTTCCTCCCCCTTATGTCGTACATGACAACAATCACAGGTCTCCAACAGGACGAGTCACTGGTTCAGGAAGTGTGCTAGCACAGAATACCCTGTGTCTAAAAGGTCAGTTGCAATGCCCAGCTACAGTCACAGATGGCCTCACCAGTCGCTGTGCTCCAGAGCGCAGATGTCATGACGATTGAGAGCGCTCCATAAAGCAACCGTCTGTAACTTGACCCGAAGCTGTCAGCGGCCACATCACGGATGGCTTGAAGCTCCTGAAGAACAATCAGATTTCAAGCAATCAGAGATTGTCACTTTTGCCCAATCTTGCCGGGACCAACATACCAACGACAGAGAGCAGAGAAAAGGAGCCAGTAGTGCGTTTCGTCCTCTGCTAAGAACAGCATCAGTTCCACAAGTACCTGCAAAGTGTGCAACTGACGACAAGATCAATACCCTGCCTCCCTCGACAGTCCCTCCTGATTATCCAGAACTGCTGATCTTCATCTCTAGCCCTTCTGACAGCTGCACATGCTGATCTTCATCTCTAGCCCTTCTTGCAGCTGCACATGCTTCCTACGTACCTGCTGAAGCTGCTGTGCCTGTGCGGCTGTTCTTGGCGGGGACTTTGCCTTGGCTGGCGTGTAGAGGTTCTTGAAGAATAGGCGTTCATTGCGTGCCTCAAAGATGCTCTGCTCCAGCAGCTCCGAGTCCCTCGCAGAAGCCTGAGCAGAAGAGCTTGTCCCTCAGACTGGAACAAATTTCTGAAGTACATCTAACTTCCAAAAATACCTTGACGAACCACCAACTTCCAGACACTTCGGTTGACGTAGTCCTCATGGTGAGCCACCCTCTGAAGCCGGCTTCATTGAACCATAGGCCTGTGGTGCACACTACATCAGGCTTCAGATATGCTTTCTACTATTAGCATGCTCGATCTTGTGCTGCAACATGCCACCAGCTTGTCTTACCTCAGCTTGAGCTTTGCTCTCTTCAATCCTCATCCTGAACCGCGCAGCATCCGCATCCAAACGTTTCAAAGCCTGCACATGACAATTGACAGGACACAATCAACAACAAAGCCACATAGGGCATTCAAAGAAACATGATGTCTAATAACCGATTAACGATGTCACACGAAGGCTTTCAATCCAGCTGTGAGGCTCACAATATTTATGCCTTCAGATCATCAGAAGGTAAGTGTGACAACCTACTACTAGCCTCTTGTCTTGGTCCACTAAACAAAGTTTCTCAAATAGAGATGCATTATTTGTGGCGAACCCTAGTTTCATATCCAACACACGCACAGGCTCACAGTTGCCTGCAAGCAACAGGGGAATAAGACACAATTGACCTCGTTGCATGTAACATCTCCTGCAATCAGAGCACTCCAAAACATGCTGCCTCCAACTCACCCGCTCGCCCTCAGCATCAACTTCATTGCACGTGTTCAGAATTGTGTTTTGGAACTTGCGGTCCAGCTCCCGGAGCCCCTCCGCAGCAATCTCACGGAGCTTGTCAGCTTCCGCATCGCAGAACATGGACATCTGTGCTTTTGCAATTTCTAGTCTTAGGACATCGACAAGTTCCTCTTGGAGCTTAGAGTCACCAGGAACTGCGTCCCCTGGCTGTGATTTCCTTATGCTGCCATGGCCACTTGATGCCCTTGGAACAGGGACCACTCGTTGACTCCTTGTAGGCGTGCTCTGGACTTGGAGCTTTCGCCCAGACAATTGATGGGGCAACAGTGCATGCACTGAAGGGCAATTGACGGTCCTTACTGGTGACATGAGCTGCCCACTCCCCACCCCGCTGCCAATTCCTCTTTCATTGAGGTTGAAAATGGTCATTGGAGTAGACTTTGCCGCAGAGAAAGCCATCATGCGTGCACAAGTGAACAGACGTGAGGGCTCTCTGTCAATTAAAAGGCGCCGCTTGCACTGAGCCTCCTGCAGAAAATAGCACACTACTCTGCGCCAATTGCAGCTCGTATCCGAGGCTGCCAACGTTTCACTCCTCTTCCCTACTCTTCCCTAGAGGCCCTGGCTAGGAACTGGCCACCTCCCCAGCTGACGCCGTTCTCCTTCTCTGAAAAGCTAGCGCGTTTAGCTTGTCCAGCGTTTGACCGTCATTGTCAAGCTGACTTTTCACTTTTCAGAGGTGCTGGTAGAACCAGGGCTCCATCGTACGGCTCAGATGCAAGATGGTGACGGAAGATACACATTGGACGGCTCAAATCCGTCAACGAAGCAACTGCCATTGGCGCCATCTTTCTTAAGTCACCAACTTCGAAGTGAAGGTGGACAGCTGGCCAAAAAGCGAAGGCAAATTCTGCCATGGGCGATGCTTTGAAGGTGTTTTGCATGGGCACAATTCTGAGCTTCTGATTGCCACATAGAAAGTCGAGCACGTTAGGAAGCTTCATCCGTGTGATGTGAGGGTAGTTCTTTCGTGCTCTTGAAAGATGGCGGTAATGGTGGCATCTGCTGGTTGCCTCACAGGCCCAGCTCCCAGTGTTATGCGTCAAACCAATGTAAAGATAAGAACACCAACCACCTGCTCCATCAAACCAACCTGTCTCCAGACCCCTGCTTCAGATTTCTGCGGGACTGTTTTGAAGCCCGGAAAATGGGGGTTTCGTTCCGCTGACCTTGCAACTTTCCTTCCTGCCATTACGAGCTTTCAAAGCAAGCACAGGCAAAATGTGCGAGTTATGGCAGCATCATCATCGGGCAATCGACGAGGTGCGTGCACATATTCGTCTTTGCCTTGTTATGACACCCACTTTTAAATGTTGGTGGAGGAATCGTCAGTCACAAGTGTCCGTTTGGTTTATTGCTCTTACAAGAAATTTTCCTCTTCCCTTGTCCAAAGAAAGTTTTCCAGGGAGTGTTAAGTGGTGCATCTTCATTCCCTCAAATCGCATATTGAAAAGCTACAGTTGCAATCTTTACAATTACGTCTACTCAATTGCAATGCTGAAAGTTTGGCGCCACGCCATTGGCTTTCGTTGGCTATCGTCTCAGTTTGAATGCTTTGCACTTCGATACAAGTTAGTACTCACAGCAAGGCCCAGAAATGAGACAAAATTCTCACTGGTTATGTTCTGTTACGCAGGCGGCCGCCGTCAGTCCAGCTCTCCTAACAACCTTACGGACGCCCCCGGCCGCAGCCGAGACGACAGCACGCAGCGCAAGATGGGTGGAATTGTGGACCTAGGCCTCCCCGGGCCCCCCCTGAGAGTGTTTCCCATTGGCGGGCTTGGAGAGATTGGCATGAACTGCATGTTGGTCGGGCACAACGACCGGTACATCATGCTGGACGCGGGGCTCATGTTTCCAGAGTGAGGCGCTACTGCAAAGCTCTTTGAGTGTTCAACTTTGTTGTGTTCTTTCTTCTCTTTCTTTCTCCTCCGTATCCCTGTAAGGAGGAAAGTGGGCAACCCGCCTCGGTCGGGTTGGGGCTCCTTTGGGATTCACAACGACTTGGACTTGAAGTTTGCGCTGTCGCTGGGCAGATTCTGAATGCTGGACATGCCAGGCGTGACAGTTCTGAGTCTCCATACGGCGCCGATGCTTTCGTCGACAGCATCGTCGATTCCATGTCAATCTGTGCGAAGGCGCCAACATGCAGACTGCCCTTTTAAGCCCCCATCTTCGGCGATCAATGCCCGTGAATAACCACTTGACTCGTAAGTGCAGTTTCGACGAGCTTGGCATCAACAGAGTGCTCCCAGACACGCAGTTCATCTCGCGCTGGAAGCACAAGATTGAGGCCGTCTTTATCACACACGGGCATGAGGACCATATTGGGGCCCTGCCCTGGGTAAGTGCGAAAACCACTTCATTTCAACCTTTTCCTCCATTTCGTGAGCATAGGCCAAAGCAAAAGTTTCCATTGTCTAAGTATAGAAAGCATCTTGTCTGAGGCCCTGTGAAACCGTTTCTGTGAGTTAAACCCCAGCTTCCAGTCCTCCCCTTTCTTCAAGCCTAGGTTTCAAATGCACAAGTCTATGCATCATGCATTCTGGTTCTAACCTGCCAGGTGGTGCCAGCCCTGGATCCGAAGACCCCCATCTTTTCCACCGGGTTCACGTACCACCTCATCCAGCGCAAGATGAAAGAGTATGGGCTGTGGGAGCCCGAGCGTTTCCACACGTTCCGCATGCGCGAGCGATTCACGGCGGGGCCGTTCGAGTTGGAGCCCATACGGGTCACGCACAGCATCCCGGATGCGTGCGGGGTGATCTTCCGGTGCGAGGACGGAACGATAGTGCACACGGGAGACTGGAAGGTAAGTCGAAGAATCTCCTGGCAGGGAAAAGGTTTTCGGTGTTGCGGTGAACTACCCAATTAGGAATGAAGCCGTCAAGCTGGTGGTTTGATGCTTTCGAGTGGTGAGTTCTGAGGTCCGAGAGAGGGACGGTTCTTTTCTGGTTGACACGAAAGTGAGGATTCAAAATCCTTCAGCCAAAGGCCCAGGCTGGGTAGCTTCCGCGGTGGTGGTGCCAACAATAAAGCATCATCAAGTTGAAGGAAACCGGCATTAAGTCGAACTGCGAACAGACGAGATGGCTGCGCATACAAGCATCGGAAGAGGAAGGGAGATAGCCGGACCCCAAGGCAGGGACAGGGCCTGGGTAATTGCAGAAAACTAGAAAGAGCCGAGTTTCTAAGATTAGGAAGACAAAGAAGTTACTGAATGAGGTCGGCGTCTCGCTAGCAACACCGCGTACCTGGGCGGTTCATACGGGGCCGTTGAGTCTGCGTCCCCAGGTCAGAAGGATGACGATTAGACCTCGTGTCAGATTTCGGTCAGCGGCTAAAATCGGATATCGGACCTGCGAAGCCTTCTGCCTTGTGCAGATTGACGAGAGCCCCATCGACGGGGACATCTTCGACAGGGCAGCTCTGGAGGAAGTGGGTCAGGAAGGGGTGACGCTGGTGAGTGCGTGCAAGAGCCCCCTTTTGTCGTGTTTGAATGTGTTTTGGGCGTCTCTGGACAGCTGTTTGTTGACAGCATCTATATGTTGTGTTCAACAGAGATTTCGGTCTGCCCTACCATGGCAATCTGTGGGTTCTACAGATTGGTGTTCAGGAACTTGTCACTTCCCTTTTTACCATGTCGTAAGACGTTGGAAACCGCAACTTGATCTGCAAAGCGGTACGACCCAGCGTCCCCCATCCCGTCTATGATTCCACATACCACAGGCCGCGGTCAGCCTTAAGAACGTTCTCCCTCCTCTCGGGCGCAATTGATGCGCGACAGGTGTTCCCTGGGTGTGCATTGGACGTCCTGGATCCAACCCGCCCCGCGAATTGACAAGGTGTTTGTACGCATATAAACGTGCTTTCGACCGCAGATGATGAGCGACAGCACGAACGTGCTGTCCCCCGGGCGCACCGTGAGCGAGTCCGAGGTGGCCAAGAGCCTCATGCGGAGGGTCGCGGAGCATCCGGGGCGCGTCATCACTACACAGTTCGCGTCCAACGTGCACCGCCTCGGCAGCGTCAAGGCGGCAGCGGACGCCACGGGGCGCAAGCTGGTGAGATTTTCTTCCCATGCTAAAGAGGGCGTCGCCAATTGTCGCTTGGGTGTCTGCAAAACCACAAATGCCGCATCGCAGTCGCTGCGAAATTGACCACATGGGTGCGACCGATCAGGGGAGCTCCGGGCTTTGGAGTCTCGAGCGGTTCCGGCCGCCCTTTCTAGGAGGGCTGTGTGTTCTATGTTGCTATGTTGCTATCGAGCAATGTCGACGCCGCAGATGGTGCCACGGATCCTTCATCACGCCTGTGATAACAGCAACACGGACAGCTGCACAGCTAATCAGGACAGGTGGATCTGTGTGCACCCTTAATCAGCGACTGTAAGACAGCTCGCCGTCCGTCAACGAAACTCTGGCGCGCAGGATCTATCCAACATTTTAGAAGGCTGGGCCGCTCCAGTAAGCTCGACTTGCAGTCCAATGGGAGCGGACCGCCTTTGACGTGACTTCTGGTGCACTGAGACGAGAGGAACGGGCGCTCCTTCAGTCGCAGTTGTATCGGACTGAAGGCTTTGCTCACTCCGATCTGTCGTGTCACTGTGCAGTGCTTCGTGGGCATGTCGTTGAAGAGCTACCTGGACGCCGCCTGGAAGGATGGCCGCGCACCATTCGACCCCTCCATCCTGGTACGAGCTGTACGCTGGCTCGGCTGCGTACTTTGATGTTTTTTTGAGTTTTTGCTGACCTTCCTTTTCTTGCATCGTTTGAATATCGCCAGTGTTCATCTGCCTTCATGGCGCGCCATTCGCTTGCACGCTCCGTGATAGCTTCCATCTTTTCTTCGGCTTTACATCTTTTCTTAAGCTTCTTCAGCCCCCTTAACGGCCATCCGTGACGTAGACAGAGTTCGTGCTTCATCTGAATGTCGCCCCTCTTTTCTGACGCCCTGCCACGTGTTTGCAGATCAATGCCGGCGACCTCGACAACTACGCCCCCCACGAGTTGCTTATCGTCACCACCGGCTCTCAGGTCCGTGCTCGCAGCTGTGTCCACGTAACAGAACGTTGCAGACTCTTGAATGTGCTTGGAGACCTCGCAGCCATGCCTCAGAAAGCGACGGACTTTGGCCATCTTAGCCACTTCAGTGTGGAGATGGGCAACTTGTCCTTCTGAGCGAAAAGAAGTGAAGAGCGTTTTCCAATCTATAAGCTGTACATGTGCCATTGAATGGCCTCAAATCTTCCCCCGAACATAGAACCGCTGAGGGTGGCCGTAAAGAGGAAATGTTAGAACCATCACTACTTTCATCAGAACGAGACGGCACAGAGCCGAAGATCCCTGCAGGGTAATCTTTGGCTCCTTTAGAAGACTTTCCATGTTCTCCTAGAGCTCTTAAAAGCCAAATCACCTCTTTTTTGCAGGCCGAGCCGCGCGCGGCCCTCAACCTGGCCTCCTTCGGCGGCAGCAAGAACCTGAAGCTCAACAAAGACGACCTCGTCCTCTACTCTGCCAAGATGATCCCTGGAAACGAGACACGTGTCGTTCGCATGATGAACCGCATCGCGGAGCTCGGGCCCGCGATCGCGATGGGGCGCGGGGAGCGGTTGCACACGTCAGGACACGCGTACTCCGACGAGCAGGAGGAAGTGATCCGGCTGTGCCAGCCGCAGCACTTTCTGCCGGTGCACGGCGAGTACGCGTTCCTGAAGGCGCACGAACAGCTGGCGCGGCAACAGGGGATCCGGCATACCACGGTGAGGAGGAATGTCTCTATGTTTCGGTTTGGAGAACGGAGTTGGGAGCTTCAGTTATAACCTGGGTACTCTTTTTCTTGGAGGAGGAATCAATTTCGAAATTCATTTGAGGTCCTTGAACGAAGTGAGGTCCATTGTGGGCTGACAAGGACTAGCTGAACCTCGATTAAGAGCCACGTAGGCAAAATTTGTTGCCCCTCAAAGACTCGGCGGAAGCGCGGTGGTTGCCCCTGTTGCACGGAATCTGCTGTCTGGACAGAGGTAAGACCAAGAGATTCGGAAGCGACGGGTTTCTCGATAACATTTAAGCTACTCTTTGCTACTAACATAGTCCGTGGCCACAGAGCAGCTACCTTTGCGGCCACCAGCACTGAGATCTCGCCGCTTTAACCCTTAAGATCCATTTTGCAGGTCATCAAGAATGGTGAAATGCTCGGAGTGGCCCCCCTCCGGAACAAGAACACGGTAACCACCGGTCAACTAGCCCTGATGGGCCAACAAAACTTGAAGGTGAGACGACTTTCACGCCCGCAAAGTGAGAGCGCCCGTAAAGTGGGAGAGGAAGTAAGCTTTGAAGCCACGAGCTTCGATTTTTCATTGAGGTAATAGTTCGACAAGAATCTCTGACTCGACATGGTCCCAACTCAAGCTTTCGACCTGGCGGGCCAGTTATGGCTAGGACGATTTTGGTGAGACGGCAACCACTTGCCAAAAAGCAAAGCTTCGCCCTGACGCATCACCAGCTCATTGATGCGCATGCTGTCTGGTATGCATACTCCTGTTTATCGACATCTCTTGATTAAAAATTACGTGGCAGTTCGTCTGACTTCGTTTTCTTTGCTGCAGTTGCAATACAACGACGGCGATCGTGCGACGGGGTCGTCTCACGAGATGGCGATCGCCGAGCGGATGCACATCGCTGTCGAGGGGATGGTAATCGCCAGGCAAGTGCCCTCCCTACTTTCTCCTTGGCCCCGCTGACTCGACTGAAAGGTCCTCGGTAGGAAGAAAGAGGACCTTCCAAGATTCATTAGCAGAGAAGCCTTGCAAGCAATTCTTGTAAGCTCTCAAATCGTTCGTGCGGCCTTAATCGCGTGGTAGGATCCAAGGCTTGACTCCGTCTTCCGCAGTGAAGCAGCTTGCCGCGTCGTTCCTTTTGTTTCAAACAGCACTGAGTTGTGCTGTTTCGCCTAAGTTCCGAGTGTGCACCGCTTCCGCGACAGCCTTCAGCGACAGACTGCCTAAAGCACACTTACCAAACCCATTGGGGAGCCAGCATAACCATCAATTGGACAGACAGACTCCGTAGCACTCTTTGGCGCCGTCATATTCAACCTTCTAATCAGCTTCCTTCGTTTTGGCCATAGCCTCGAAATCACGCGGCCCGCCGGCACGCGCGTCCTGGCGAGCGCGCAGCAATACCAGGACGGAAAGGAGCCGTACGGGTTGAAGGCACGGATACGCATCACGACACGATGCATGTGGGTGGACCACGGAAAACTGCTCGGCGTCATGCAAACCGAGGCCCAGCGATGCCTGAAACGGATCGCCGCGAACCAGCCGCTCTCGGTGATCGAAAAGGAGGTGGCGCAGGCGATCCGGGGGGCCGTCCGAAAGTACAGCAACAAGCGTCCGGACGTGGTGGTCATAGCGTATGAGGGCCAGTGGGCCGTCGAGGAGCCGAGCGTAAGCGGGCGCGCAGAGGAGGAAGTGCGGGCGCCCGGGAAGAAGGGGCCGAAGCTGGTCGGGGGGGTGAAAGATAGGCCGCCCCAGGCGGGGGAAATCGAAAAAGAAGTGCTTGCACGGGCGTTGCAGGAGACGGCGGGCGCGAGCGGGTCGGGGCGGGGGGATCCCTCCGGAAACGGCTCGCGGGGGGGCGATCCGGGCCTTCGAGCGGCGGAGGATGTGCTGTTGGCGGGAACTTTATCGGGGTTGGCGACTCGGCGGAGCGACGCGGCAGCCGTGTCGCCGAAACGAGAGAGAGTTGCGCAGAGGATGACGGCGACCGCGACTTTGTCGCCGGACGGGGTGCTGGAGATGAGCGACGGGTTGGACGGGGAGAATGCGGGCGCGGAGCCCAAAGCGCGGGGCAACGGAGCCGCGCCGCGTGTCGCCGCGGGCCGGAGAACGGACGGGAGCAGTTCGGATTCGGAAGAGGCGGCAGAGGACTACTTTCTAGAGGATTGACGTGTAGTCGTGCCCACTGTGACGTCAGTCCATGCACGCACTTCGAGATGCTAGTATCGTCTACCCACTTTCATCGTTGTCTTGGTCGAGGAATTGTGGTCACCTCAGTCAAGGAGGTCACGATTACTTCAAACAAACGGTTGGAGATTTTAAGCATGACGGGTGATTGCAATCCGTTGCCGTTCATACCCAACGGGCGGGTCTGGTACCCTTCTGCGGGTACCTTATCAATGTGGATTGCATTCCAATCTGCATGGTGTTGCAGACCCCAAGCTTGCGATGGGTTGAAAGGATCGCATGGTCTTGGAGTCTTCACGGATCAGTTTGTTGAGGCAGTAGCTGACGTCTAGAGGTTGGGTCGCAGGCCTCAACTGGCGGCAAGTATTGTGCAGCGCCTGCAGTAGAATTTATCTCGCGGCTGCAACTTGTCCCAATCCTGTACTTCCGTGGTTGCTGCATATTGGGGGATTCTGATACGCGGGACGTCATTACATGCGGAGATTGATTGAATTAGACTGATCACACGACGCACAGCTCGCTCAGGGGCCGCACACTGACGCGCTGACAAGGCATCAAGTCACCATTGACTGGAACGTCTGCTGGAACCCGGCAAGACGGCCGGCGAGGTTGGAGATCGATCGGCTGGCTTCGAGATCAGCTTCAGGGATCGATTATGATCAAGATGAGCAGTGCGAACCTGAGTCGAGTATAGCGGTACTGAGGTCCACGGCAGCCTTCTTTCGTGTTCGTATGAAGTGTCAGGGTGTTGTACGCATGACCAAAGTCTTATCTCGGATCGGATTCTCCTCACGCTCAATCGACTTTGATCAAGGCAACCGCAGCCTCCCCCCGTCAACGTTAGGCAAATCGGATACCGTCAGTAGGCGATTTTCACATTGACGATAGCAGCTAGCATGCACGATTCGCCCCGCTTGACATGCAGTCTCCGACCCCCAACCAGCAAGCCCGCGCAGCTCCCGTACTCATTTGCAGACGAATCATCCCAGTCCACAGACTTCATCCACATTGATGAGCTTGCGGGTGGCCTCGTTTCCAAACGAAAGAAACGCTTGTACAAGAAAGCTCTTGGCTTGAGCTTGCTCTTGCGGCCGAAGAAGGCTCAGTCTTCGCAAGATTGCCCTGGCTCGTCACCACACCGGAGGCTGTCTCTTTCGATCGTCGAGGAGGAGTCGATGTGAAGGGAGAGGGCGGCACCCAACAGAAAGTCAAGCTTCGTTTGAGAAGGAAAGAGATGGAGCCCGCTGCGCAAGACCAGCCCAAGTTAGGCGCGGAGACCGCGCCGCCGACGTCGCCCAAACCCTCCGAAACCCCGCAGGCCGAGCCCGCGGAGCGCCACATTCTGTGCGCGTTCGATGGTTCCCTCGGGGCCAGGAGCGCGTTCGAGTTTGCGCGGGACAAGATTGCGAGCAGGGAGCGCGGCGACGACCTGGTGCTGTTCCAGGCCTTTGAGTCGCTATACCGTAAGAGAGCTTCTGATTCCTCCACCCTCAGTTTGGTTCTGCTCGTTGAACATTGAAGAGTACGACCTTTCAGGTGCTATATCGTGAGACATGAGCCTGTTTTACCCCCTCTCAACTTTGCTTCTGCTCGCCGGTTTTTTAACACATCGCGCAAGGCAGACCTTTTGAGTTCGCTCTATCGTGGGAGAATATCCTTGGTGTTTTCTCTCTCTCGTTTGGTTTTGCTCCTTGGTCTTTGAAGAAAACGGGATCAGCGGACCTTTGAGCTGCTCGGATTTGAGACACAAACCTTGTTGACTCTTCCCAATGTGGTTGTGCTCGTTGATTTCAGTAGAGCAGGATCAGCAGACTTTCGAGTCGCTGTATTGAGCCATAGCCCCGTTCATTTTTCGCTCTACTTTTCTGGTGGTTGTCGCAAAACACGGGAAGTGCAGACCTTTGAGGCCCTTCATCCAGAAACACGAGCCCTGTTCATTCGTCGGCCTAAATGGGTTTTGCTCGATTATAAGAAACCCTAAAAGGAGAACAGTAGACGTTGAGTCGCTCGTTTGCAAGACACGAAAGCTGTACGATTTGTATCATTTTTCTGGTTCATTGGCTTCTCGTTGGTGCTAGAGAAAAGCTCGGTGTGAGTTTGTCTTTCGTTTGGTGGGAAATGGAACCGCTGGCCAGTTCTCCAATGACCAAAAGGAGCCATCTCAATTTCGCGACGCTTCATCAACAAGAGAGGCGGTTGCAAAAATGACCAAGAAAGGAATGTTTGGTACATGCAGATCTATAGTTCAAAGGCTCGTTTGTTGAAGGCCGAGTCTGATACTGTAAGATGCTGCGATGAAAGAATGAACACGGCCTCAAAGACAATCTCCCGAAGCTCAATCATAGTCGTAGAAGGTTTCCGCTGGCAGGGGGTTACCCGGCAGCTCCAAACTCGAGCATCTTGGTCATTGGCTCCTTTTGCTTTGAATCAGAAAGGGACGCCCCACAACATTTGAGTTTGGAGACAGTAATTTGATCAGTCGAATCCGTGTCCCCTCCGTGCAGCCCCGGGCTTCTTCGACACCGTCAGCGAGGGCACACGGCGGACCCTCCAGGAGCAGGAGGGCCGCCGGCTGACCGAGGCCGTCAACGAGTTGCACAAACTGGCCGGCACGTCCGGGGTGAGCGCGCGCGCGTGCTGCGGATCGTGGCGTCATGCTTGCGTCACCAGCTCGTTGGCTGTTCTGATAAAAAGCACTGGTGTGGCGGCAGCCTTTTCTGGACATCGCGGGGTGTGGACGTGCAACGTTCGGGGCGTCAGTCATGTCTAGTATCGAAATCTTCTCCTCGTGAACAATAACCAAAAAAGGTTCTCAGACATTTCACTAACTCATCTTTGGCCGGTCAAAGTCTCGCACGAAGGCTCAGTTCTTGTTCTCGTGCCTTATTTCATATCGTATCTTCGGGTTTAACACGAATCAAGAACACGTAGTTGCTTGAGAATTAGACCACGCGCGAACACTTCTTTTGAGTACATCCGCTTTGATCTTTGGGAGCATTTAACAACGGCAGAAGTGCATGGCTGCCGTCTTGCCAGACAACTCCTTACTTTTCCTAGTAAGACTGCGGGACTATTCCAAACGATGTCAACAATCAAGGTGAATCTCGCCATTTATCTATACAATCATGAGAATCCTTCAGCCTTAAGAACCAAAAGAATCGACTTCCCGTTTTCCGTTGCAGTCCGTTCCGTGCACCTTCGCGGTCGTTGCAGGCGACCCGCGCTCAGAGCTCCTCAAGCACCTGAACAGCCATCCGGTGGACTTGGTGGTTATGGGCAGCCGGGGCCTTAACCCGATGTCGCGGTGAGTGGTCAGCCTTAATTCACATCGCTGGAACCTACTTCTGACAGAAAGTAACCCCTAGCCGTTACTTTCGATTCATTGAGTCATCCTCCAATCACAACGGAAGTATTGGATTAACCTCATCCCGCTGTTACAAGAGGAAGTAAGCCTTGACCCACGTCGACGGCAGTGGTTAAGCGTGCTAACTTCCAGGTTCACAGCAGGAATTTGTACTCAAAGAACTGTTTTCATGCATCTTCCCACTTGGAGTCCACATACAGGTCCGTTGCGTCTAACCGATGGTACTACTCTTTATGAGGTCCCGAGTCAGGTTTCAAATTATCCCGTTTCAGCCAGCCGCCCTTTTGATCAGACTCCGTGTGACTGGAGATGCAACACTGCCTTCGTCTTCGTCCCTGATAAGAAAAGCACTACCCCAAGAAACCCCAAGAAAAGTCTTTCGCAATCACCAAATCTTGGCCGTCTGATACGCCTCCTGATACCCGTGACTTTGCGTCCGATTGGCCAACGACTTTCGTCTTGAACATCGATGCTTCTCTTCTATTTTGTCGTTAAGGTCAGCAAACAATCCCGGGAGGACCCATCTGACGCTCCATTTCCCTTCCTTCTTTTCAGACTCTTCCTGGGCAGCGTCAGCAACCATGTGGTGCACAACAGCCCGGTCCCGGTCGTCGTGGTACCCACCGCGTCAGACCCGGTGGGGGGACTGGCCGCCAGTTTGCGGCGCGGCCTCACTGTGGAGGAATCGAGCGCCAATCCGTGACTTGAGCTGGCGCTAACCTGACACGTGTCATGTAAAGCATAAGCATGTATAGGCAAAGAAGTCGGGGATCGGGTGGGGTTGGCTTGGGGGTTAGGGTGCATGCGGATGCCGACCGCCTCGACTTTTGGGTGCGGGACCTTGCTTAGAGTGCTCGGGTTTCCTGGATGCCAGAACACACGCGGCTGTTAGGTCATGTGAAACCGTCTGTCAAATCCGGTTCTCTGTACTAAGCGCTGCTTGAAATGCGAGTCCCGGATGTGATCATGACCTTTTTCTTTGGCCGGCCAGCAATTCAAAAGGTTCATCGCAGACAGCGCCGAAGAGAACCCGCTCAAGGAGCCGGCCCGTCCATGTTATACGCTTCGTCAGAGACAATGCCAGACTTTTATGGATATCAACCTGCTCTCTGACCTCGTCCCGCGGCCACGCACAAGTTGCATGAACCGACTGGAGCGGCTCATCTCAGATTCGTTCGAGTTAACCCGGCATACAGGCTGGATGTCATGAGGATGGAAAGCGTCAATCCCAACTATAGCTTTCTGTACTCTAGGATGGTGCAGTTGCTGCAAGCAGCCATGTGACGGTCACGCAAAAAATATCGCTCCTGATAGTTGCATGATGAACATGCCGAAGTAAATCAACCGCCCCACTTGGGTTTTAAGGGCATGCCCGGCAGCCTCTGAGCCAGATGCAGGGCTCAGGCCGCTGAGGCTCTGAGTCCACAAGTGGGACTCACTTCGGCAATTTGTGGACAGGACCGTCAATCGGCAGCACTCGAATTGCCCCTAGCTTGCCAGTAACAGGCTAGTCCAACAGGGCCTCCGACGTGAAGAGGCTGCTGCAAACTCTGTGCCGGCCATGCAACATTCAGCGCTCGATAAACATTCAATCATGCGCCACCGTGACAAGACAGACCGCGACATGACTGCATTATACCATGTTTGGAAATGGCATGATGAACAGGATCGGCAGCGCAGTAATTTTGAGAAATGCCCGGCCGGCGAAACACAGAGTGTCCAAAGGTATGCCGACGTGTCGGACATGAGCCAGTTAATTGTCGTTGTGGTAGGTCTGCATACCAAACACATTTCGCATACGACAATCACCTATTGCCTTCCACTTGCTATCTTGAATCTTCGGATCTCGGATTTCTTTCGTGGCATGAGCAGAGCGAACGGACATATAAACGTAAGGGTCAGATTTCACCAACGAATGTTGAGAAAGGCGGCTAGGTCAGCTAGCTGCTTATGCCCGCGATAGAATCAAGCCAATGTAAGCAGCGACCACAATTGCTTCTGATTGTAACAAGCCGCGAAAGCTTCAACGGAGGTGCTCAAGGCATCCAGGTCTTCCCTTTGCGGCACCCGTACCCGCCCTATTTCGCAATTCAAGCCTCTTCCTGTATCCAGCACTAACCTTGACGCTCATGGAAGTATTCATATACAACAGTTTGGTTTACGCATCGCTGTCGGCTGCATGCCGCGGCTCTTTCAGAGTTTCGATCGAAGGCCCTGCAAATCCGAACAGGCGCTTAGCTGTTACGTTCACTCTTCCGGTGTTGTTCGTTGCACCAAGTGTGGTGCAGAATCACGCTTGCTTTTCGAGAATACGCAACGACGTTGGACGGCCCCTTGGAAGCAACAAGCATGTAGCAGAAGAACGACTCCTTAAGCAGGTTGGAAACGTGACGGAAACGACGGGCAAAAACCAGATCCAATCCGTAAGCATAGGAGCGACGATGGCGCAGAAACTAGGGCGGAGCGAGAAGCATGCAAGTTCACATCAGTCCAGGAATACGAGTGGAAGTCAAAGCATATAAAACCAGTGCTCAGGAACTAGAGCGGGCGTCACCTGCGGCACGACGCTGCTCTTGGACAGCAGGTGCTGAAGCACGTCCTCCGTGGTCGAGTTGTTGCGCAGGTAAAACTCGGCGGTCAGAATCTCCTGCTGCTCGGGCGTCAGGTCGCCGCGTCGGCCCTGCAAGAGAGGCAGCAAAAAGTTTGTCAACGAGTCGGGCAGTCTTCGAAAAAGGGAATGAACGCAAATCGTCAGAGAGGCTTTCCTTGTTCGTTGCTTAGTCAGCGTACGAGAAAGTTGGAATCTTGTCAAGTTGCAGCGAAATGTTTTCAAGGGATGGACTCTCAGGAGGCCGGGGTGTGAAATATGAAGCATTCAATGCCAGAATTTCAACATCACACGGCCCATAGAAAAGACCATTCTGTGGCACAGGCGATGGGCCCGACTGCGCTAAGACGCCCCTCGACGCGCTCAGGCGCCCGGAGATGAAACAGCCGCACAAACAGAGCGGAGTGCGAGACGTCCCACTCACACTGACGAACGGTTTCATCATTAATAGAACCTGAGTGGTCACTTGCGATCCGATCGCAGGGGCTTCAAGTCTCCGGGGCCCTTCATTTAGACGCGATTGAAAAAGCACACATTCCCGATGATGGCTGAGTCTGCGTATGTACGAGACGAGAGTTAGTGAAGAAAGTGCTTACCCGCTGCCGCTTCGCATAGTGCATGATAATCGCGGCCGCAACCGAGATGTTGAAACTGTCGACGAACCCGTCCATGGGGATCGAGCACTGAAGGTCGGCGCCCGCGATGGCCTCGGGGCTCACCCCGGCGTGCTCATTACCCAGCACGACTGCGCAGGGGTTTATCTTTGGGTTAGAGGGCTGAATTTTGGGTTGATGACTCGAAGACGGAGGGTTAGCGGACCCAAAACTGTCGACAGGATAGTTCATGGGGACCGACTACCGCAGTCGGCGCCCGCAATGGCCTCGGGGCTCACCCCGGCGTGCTCGTTACCCAACACAACTGCGCAGGGGTTAGATTTTGGGATAGTAAGCTGGAAGGCGGGTCATTGCATCGAAGACGTAGGGTTAGCGGAAAGAAGAATCTCGAACAAGACTGTTCATGAAAAAACGCCGCAGGTCCGCGCCCGCAGTTGTCTCGGGGCTCACCCCCCGCGTGCTCGTTGCCCAGCAACGATTGCGCAGGCATTTAGAACTGGGTTAGAAGGCTAGATTCCTAGGTTTAAGGACTGAGTTCTAGGTTAGAGGGCTGGAATCCGGGGGCTGGAACCTGAGCTGATGGACGGAGGATCAGTGTCAGAGGACCAGTTTCCTGGTTAAGGGACGGAAGCGGTTATGTCAATTGCTCACTGAACCTTGAGAACTCGATCATTAGAATGCTTTGACAATCGGGACAAGGAGGCTCTTCATATTTACTGCCACCTTTCTGGCCTTACGCTTCGTGGTTCTGAATAATCAGATACCAGAAGCTTTGCCCGTTCGACGTTCGCCTAAGACGTATTCGTCTAAACAAAGAGCAGGGACCACGAAACACCAGCATATGCACTCCGGTCTTTAGTTATAGAGCTTGTCATCAAAACGCAAGCGAGCTCAGAATGCACTTCACCTGCCGTAGGTATCGACCAATCCATGTCCTCAATCGGAGTGGAAACGGACCCCCCGTCGCAGTACGTCACAGCTATCCTGTAGCCCCTCTCCCGAAGAGCGGCAAAGCATTGCTCGGTTGTTCCCCAGGTTTCGAAGTCGAGCCACTTGTCGGCGCCGGCCGTGATCCGCTGACTCGACCGGTACTTCTTGTCACCCCGCTCTATCAAATGAACATTCTGCGGCAGGAACGTGTTGATGATTTAAAGGAGAGTTGAGACCATTTTCGAAGTTCTGACTTACTCTTAATTACGAGTATGACATTTTGTTCCTGCACGAAAATTCGAGAGTTCGTCTAAACAAGCTGATCCATTGTATGGACGTTCTGCGAAGGGGTTTACAGGAATTTCTGGAGCGCCTGATTAAAAATCAGTTGACCAATGAGCCGGATCGCTTTTGACCACATAACTTTCGTAGGCATCTAGCAAAGGTTTTGTATGGGCACCGCGATCAGACTGCCTAGCTCTTTGAGTTCTATCAGAACGATGGTGTGGGATGCACACAAGTTGGGTGCCTAAACTCTCTCCGAACCGAAACGCAAGCAGAGTGGAGCGTCGGTCATCTCACCTGACAGCCTAGAGCTTCTGCTGACCGACACACAGCCGCAACGTTCCCCAAGTCTATCAACCCCTCCACAACCGGCACAATTCCATATGTTCGTCCGGCGACAACCTAAACAGAAACAATTGAAATAATAAGTTGCTGGTATCATCAAGCGCATCAAGCATTATGGCTTTCATGTTCAAAATTACACTGAGAGGCCTTACCGTAAGGACAATCCCAAACTTCTGGATGTTGACTAGACACACTGGGATCAGCGACCTACTGTCGAAGGCTGCAAAACGTCCTATTCAGAGCCGTGCTACTACTATTGATCATTGGGGGCTCGAAGATCAAGCCTGGTTTCTAAGCTTCCAGTCAAGTCAGCTTCCGAAGGCCGGCCTTCAATTGAGGATGACTGTGGTGCCATTTTAATTTTGAAGAAAGACATCTTGTGAGAAAGACAAGCCAGACCTTGCGATCGAAATCTTTCTCCAGATATGGTAGGCCATGAACACTTTTGAAGGGAGTTCACATCATACCATTACAGTATACCTTGTTTATTGCGGCAAAAGTTGGCTGAGGCTTCTGAATAAGCAAGGGTGGTGCACACAAGTGAGGGCGTTGGTTATCAGAAGCCTGACCCCACATAGAAGTTCTTCTCCGCTAACATTGTCATTTCCTCAGTCCAGTATAGCAGATCTACAGAGCAACCTAAGAAGCCATGGTGCTCTCATGGAACCCACCTGGCGCCGTCCGCACAAAGAGAAGCACATGAATCAGAAAGCTTCAACTCGCAGCACTTCTGCTCAAATGTTCAGACCTCAACCCGTGAGTTCAACCTTACGCCCCTACCTGAGCCATCCTCTCCTTCCGCTTGTCGTCCATGAAGACCCCAAGCATGTCAATGACCTGGCGGGGCGACACCACCTGCTCTCCTATCCGAAATTGGTTTCCATATGGGAAGTATGTTCTACCACCTTTTGTACCACCTCTACCATCAAATGCTGGGCCACCTTTCACACCGCCTGACGGAATTGCGGAAGCCACAGTTGACTCTTCTTTTGAAAAAGCTTCCGGTGGTACAGCACTTTCTTGGACGGAGGCGGCTGATGTGGCACAACTCCTGTGCTCCAGTTTGGCGCCGCGCCTATACTTAGCAGTATGGATCAGAGAGCTGTTAAATATTGAGTCTGGCTGGCTGGCTGCAGAACCTTTTTTGACCACCCGCTGATTCTTGGAAACAGCATCAAGATCTAAAAATGGGTTCCCTCCAAAGCCGCATCCAGGCATTGCAGAAGGTATCGCATTGTGCCTGGACTGAGCGAAAGAACAGGACGACCTCCAAGCAGCCCTTCGCGATAGCCACTGCAACTCCGAGCTCAGGCACTTTGAAAGCATCTTGCCACAAAGAGTCTCCTTCTGAGCCCCTCTGAAGCTTTCGACGCGCTAAAGCAAACACCAATGTGGGCAACAGAGCATCGAACTGTCCTGGCGTCCTTGTGCACCACCACTGCATCTGATGTTGAGCAGGTGCATTTGAAAGTTGTGGTGGGGGCTCCCTTGTCTCCAGCGGACCAGCATAAGCTGAGACCGTCGATGGCGACAAGGCAACATCAGCCGGCCGATTACAAGATTGCTCATATACATGAACCGTCCGATAATAAAAGGTACTTTCTACGGCAGGGATGCACGCACACAACAAGCATGTGACCCTGCATCATGCACTGCATTGCTTTGCAGGCAATCCATCAAACAACGAGCCAGTTAGCAATTAAGCAAGCCGGTGGCAAGTGCTGTTTGCTTGGCTTCTTGAAGGGTCTGGCAGCAACCAACAGGTCCTTCCCTTCAGATCTTAGTTCCATCGCCATCGTGTCCTTTGGAATCCATCTGATCGACTTTCAGCTTCTGTCGAGGGCCGCATTTTGGTGGACAACGCTGAAATTATTTATTTGCATTGAATTCAGCAATGGGGCTGCCAGTCCTTACCAATGGGGTTTCGGGCCACGATGGACAGCAAAGCATGCTGGACAAGATCAAGGGTCTGACGGGTGGGCCTCGATTCTTCATCGGCGAATGCGGTGTGACATATTCCTGCATTCTCATTGCACGAGATTGTAATGGCTTTTGGAGAGCCATCACCAGCTTTTTCAAGCCTGCAGCATGATTGCTGTGACTTCTGAGAAGTGGTGACATGACTGATGATCATCCATACAATCTGAACTCACAATGTGTGCCAAACAGCCAACTGGAAAAGATGTTTTGGGTTCGAGTATTCTTTCTGATGGTTGCAAAGGAGAGCTGTATGAGGCGGTGCGATGTATCCTGCAGATGTTGGCGCTATGACCCGGCTACTGCATGAGACGATTGCCCAGGAGCGGGAGATTGACAAGGAGTTGGAAGTCCTGCTGGGGCAACGACAGGAGCTGGAGAGGAAACTCAGCAGCCTGCACAAATCAGCTGAGGTACAGTCACTACTTCTCCTCTGATAGGTTGTTTGATGGTGGGAATTGCCACCACTGGGGAGTCCACAAGTCGCAGCAAGGTCATCAGTCAGCAGTGCAAGCAAACGGTTCCTCGTCGAATTGTGTGAAATCAATCTTCATTGTGCCTGTAACGTCTCGATCCTGGCCTGACGAAGGAGTGCTTCCGGACCTCGTTGGAGGGGATCTCAGCACTTTCATTCAGTCAAGGAACGCCACATTGTATCGTTTTAAATGGTGATGTATTTGCTTTGCAACAAAGCGCCCACGGATTCTTCTGACCAAAGCCCCCACTCTGGTCATGGTCCACGGGTCTGGTCGCTCGTTGCTGGTCACCAATGGGAGCTGCATTCCAAGGCCTTGTGAATCTCCTCTGTAGCCGCTCTAAGGACGGTAAGAGGCAGGTGGTCAGCCTCATCAAATCCTGCCTCGTTGGCTTCAACCGATCAGTCCAGTCAACGAGACCCGACAAGTTAGGGGCAAAAAGCGACGACCTATTCTTTTAGTCTGGCCTTCTTCTTGCCCCTCCCGTCACAACAGGCTCTAAGTGCACCACCTTCTCATACCCTATCCCAATCCCCAATACCTTATCATCCTCCCCCAGGTGCTCGAGCTCGTCCGAGCAGACTCAGACCAAATGGCCGCCAGCGTGCGCAGCACGTGCAGCCTCGCAGAGCACGTGAGCGGAAAGGTCCGGGAACTAGACATGGCGCAATCCCGGGTGCAAGACGCGATCACGCGCATCAACGCCATCGTGGATCGCACCAGTTGCATAGAGGGCGTGAAGACGGCACTCGAGGGCGAGGACTACGAGGCGGCGGCCAAGTATGTGGAGACGTTTTTGGAGCTCGATGGGGCGTACCATGATGCGGCGGTGCAGGAGAACTCGGCGGAGACAGCGAGAGAGCAGGTGCGTGGATCTAGACATATGTATTTGGGTTCAAGTCCGACTTTTGTTTCAGGTTGAGGGAGAGTTGTCTTTTACAACCCCTTCTATACAAGAGCGCTTCAGCAGATCCTGGCATCAACTACTGCTGGCTTCTGCACAAACTCCCGAGAACGGGGGTATGTATGCTACCGTTTCTCCTTGGAAAGCTCTGCCAGCTTGCCTTTCTTAAAGATCCTCAGCGCTCCTCCTGCTGTACTTCTATCAAAGTTCCTCTTTTCCTGACATTCATACGATCTGAAGCGATATGAACTTTTTCGCAGGTGGAGCAGCTGATGCAGTCGAAGCAGCAGCTAGAAGAGGTTATCCGGAGCAAGTTTGCGCAGGCGGTGGAGAGCAAAGACCACGAACAGGTCGTGCGCTTCGCAAAGCTGTACCCCCCACTGCAGGTAAGCAGGATCTCTGCTCTGAGTCATACGGGCAGGAATTCTTTAGTCCCATCAAAACGCTCGTTGAAATCTGATTGGCCCACAAACAACACGCATCACTCATTGCGATTGACCTTATACACACCTGGCACGCTTGCAATCAGATCTGACAAAATATTGGACTGGTCGCGGCAGACTCCCCCCTCTGAGCGACAGAAGTAGTGGGCTCGAACGTAAAACTCCTCAACGGCGAGGCTCGGTGTTTTGCAGTCCGCCTTTGCGCATGTTCCTAGTTGGCACTTCCAAGGAAGCACGCACGTTATAATAATCTGTATACATCGGCGCCCACGGAACAAACCAGGTTGATGCTTCGTTCATAATTGTCAGAGTAACCGGATCTTCTAACAAACCCCGTGCATTTGCAAGAGGAGGGCCTCCAAACGTTCACGGCCTTCCTGCGCAGCCAAAGGTTTTGGGTCGCCCCAAGGAACCGAGACGCAGTTCGCACGTCTTTGAACGAAACGAGTTTTGATCGATTTTGCGACACCTGGTTGAAGTTGCAAGAGGAGGGCCTGTAAAAGTTCGCGGCGCATCTTTAGAGCGGCGAAGAGGAGGGCCTGTGCATTCTCGTGGCGCATCTGTAGGGCCAATCCTTCGCCGCCAGGTTACGGGTCGCCTCAAGGAACTCAAGTGAAACGAAGTCTGAGCGAAGTTTTTAATCACCGTCGCAGTTGCAAGAGGAGGGCCTCCGAACATTCACAGCGTATCTGCGGGGCCAAGTCTCCGCCTCCGCCAAGGAGAGCATCGAGGCGCTCGTACTGGCCATGGACCGGCCCGCAGTCAAAGGCGCGGGTCCGGACTTTGTCGGAGTGCTGACGGAGCTCTTCAAGGTTCGTTAGCCCTCACGAACTTGATTTAATGCATTTCTGCGCCCGCCAGTGCGCCTCCAATCGAACCGCTGAGAAGCCTCGGTTGAACTTCTCAAATGTGATCGAAAAGGGCGCCGGTCCCGACTTCGTCGGAGTGCTGACGGAGCTCTTCAAGGTTCGTTCGTTCACGTACTTGTTTCTATAGTAGCCTTCTGCAATCGCAATTGCACTTCCAATCGAACGGCATGAAGCTCGGACGGAGACCACTTGTGCTTTGGCGTCGCTGCCGGCTTGACGCCGTGACCGCACAGGAAAAGCAGCATTGCTCCGTGTGGCTCGAATCAGAAATTACAGAGGCCTCCCTCACAAAATATCCATTATCTTCCTTCTTGGCGCCTTATTTGTAATCATGCAAAAATTTCAAAAATTTTTGCAGCAGGCCAGTAGGGCAGCCTAAACCACCTCCATCTCTTCCCTATCATTCCCCCGATCAACCAGACACTCCAGTCAATCAGAACCGACTTCTAACCCGCAGGACATCGCACTGACGATTGAGGAAAACGAGGAGCTGCTGCGAACGTCCTTCGGCGAGGACGCCGTCCCGTACGTCGTCCGCGAGCTGCAGGACGAATGCGAGACACGTGGCGCTCAGATACTGCGCCAGTACTCGGAGTACCGAAAACTGGCGCGCCACGCCAAGGACGTCACCGCAAAGCCTTCCGGGGGCGTTGGAACGGCGGAGGGAGTGGACCCCCGGGAGGTGGAGGTGTATTTGGAGGAGATGCTGTTGTTGACACAACGGAGCGAGGAGTACTCCCAGGTAGGTTGAGCGTCGGTGATTGCCTTAAGATGGTCTTCGGGCTGATCCTTGGGCAGTTTAGCTGCAGCTTCACGAGGAATGATTCAATTGTGGACTGGTTACCGAGGAAACGCTGTGACTGTTGGCAGAAAAGTTGCCGTAAACCGATTCGCGACTCGACGGAAGGGCTTTGCTATCTCACTCTCGCAATCGCGTGTGTAATGAACGACTTGAACGCCAGCCTTGTCCAGCCTGCGCGAAGGCACGAGCAATGATTGCCAGGTGATTAATCTCCGCAAAACTCCCAAGTTCCCGAGACCCTTTCCTTCTCCCCCAGTTCATGATCGCCAAGATCCGGGAAGCCGAGGCTGGTGGCGCGCAGCTGAGCCCCGGCGAAGTGGACGCCTTCAAGACCGGGGCGTTCAGCCGGGCGGTCCAAGAGCTGCTGGGCTACTACATGACGTTGGAAGAGTACTTTATGAGTGAGAACGTCAGCAAGGCGGTGCGCATCGACGAGTTCGTGGAGGACGCGCTGACGACATCCATGGTGGATGACGTTTTCTACATCCTGCAGAACTGCGCGCGGCGGGCCATCTCAACAGGTGAGCATTGGGGGGGGCGAAGTTCGTTTTGCGCTGGGTTGGTCTGCGTGTGAACTACGGTTAGTCTGTGATTTTCTATGATTAGTCTGCGGTTAGTCTTTGGTTATTCTGTGGTGGTTCTGTGATTATGCCGTGATTGCAGCAGGTAGAAAGGGGCTGGCCCGGTTGTCCCCTGGCGCGAATTGTACTTTCACAGAAGGGCTGAGCGACATTTGAGGGAACCTATCGGAGCAATCGAGAGGATTCTGTCTTGAACCGAACCTCTTTGAACGAAACAGCTCTCCCGCTTGTCCAATCCGACACCCTGGGTCTCAAATTGCTTCTTTTTCTCCGCTCTCATTTCCGCGTTCTGTTTCTCTCTTACTTTCGGAGAGACCTTCGGTGCTCCCATCCCGTCAGCACCGTTCATAACCGTCGATCTGAACCCCCAATCGCACTCCTGCTGCGCTTTCCAACCCCATTCACACCGGGCCCCGCAGGCAGCGTCCAGTGCGTGTGTTACTGCCTCAACACGGCCAACAACCTGCTGGGCAACGAGTACAAGGAGGCGCTGCACCGCAAGACGCGCGAGCCCGCGCTCGCGGCCAAGCTCTTCGCGGGCGCGGCCGCGGCGCCCAAGAGCGGCGCCGAGATCGCGACCGCGCTCAACAACGTCGACGTCAGCGCGGAGTACGTCCAGAAGCTGCGGAACGAGCTCGACGAGTTTTGCGCAGAGGTGGGGGCTCGTCTCCGCTCCCAAGGTCCCCGGTTTGTTGGATTTGACACTGTGATCGCTGTTTGCTTTCGCTTGGCTGCTTTTCTCAGCTAGCCTTATCTATCGTGTTCTCCGTGTCTCGTTCCTACTGCGACTGATTCGCTCCTTCGCGGAACTCTCGTGAAACTGTCCCCAGTCGCTCGAGCTGGAAGGCAAGAGAAGGAATTCGGCGTCTATGATGCCGGATGCACCCTTGTAATCACCACGGAGCCGTTTCTCGGTACGTGTTCACCTTGAGTGCTCTTGAATCAATATCACAGCTCTGAGTTATGACTCAAGAGGAAGGATAATTCAGAAGCCTGCACAGAAGACGTCTGGACCAGCGCTTCGCAAAGTTCACAGAACGGAGGACACAACAAGAATCTTTTGTTGGAAGGTCCGAATCGTCGCCCTTGGCGCTCGACAATCCGACGTGTGCATGCAACTTACTGCGTCCCGTCGGCAGACCTTTATCTTCCTTATCTGAGCGACGACTTACCGTGCAGATGTTCTCTGCCCCTGCCGACCGTGAGAAGATCAAAACCGTTCTCAACGATCTGGGCGAAACAGCAGCGGCGCTCAAGGCGATGGCGGTCTCGAGCCTAGAGGGCCTGGCCAACAGCATCAGCCCGCGGTTCCGGCCGCTCCTGGACGCGGTTAACGCCGTGGGTTACGAGCTAACCGAGGCGCAGTACGCCGAGAACGAGATTCACGACCCGTGGGTGCAGAGTTTGTTGGTGGCGGTGGAGCAGAACGTGACGTGGTTACAGCCGCTGTTAACCACCAATAACTACGATTCGTTGGTACACTTGATTATCGAGTATATAGTGAAGAGGATAGAGGTCATCATGACGCAAAAGCGGTTCAATCAACTCGGGGGGCTGCAACTAGATCGGGACGCTCGGACGCTGGTCGGGCACTTCTCGGGGATGACGCAGCGGACGGTCCGAGACAAGTTTGCGCGTCTGACGCAGATGGCCACAATTCTGAACCTCGAGAAAGTGAGCGAGATCCTGGATTACTGGGGCGAGAACTCGGGGCCGATGACGTGGCGGCTGACCCCAGCGGAAGTGCGGAGAGTGCTTGGTTTGCGGGTGGACTTCAAGCCGGAAGCCATAGCCCAATTGAAGTTATGATTGGTCCTCTGTAGATATTGTCCACGTCTTAACCGTCAGCTGGCGCATTGCCGCAGTCATTTCGATTTTTTACTCAAAATAAAAGCTGTACGCGACCATGGAAGCCATGCTTGATCGGGGACTATAGGGCTCTGGCTATCCAATAGTTGCAACTGTGCAGGCCTTACCTTTCATCATGATTGCATATTCCTTTCCAACGCCAGGAAGATAATCAGGACACCGATCGGCTCTGCATTGCGTGACACGACTCGCTAGAGGAGGATGATCATGGCAGTGTCTTTGGATCTGAGCCCATATACCGCATGGTGCCGCCATTGTAAACCAAGGCTTTCACAGCCGGACCTGCAACGCGTTCATGTGCGGGGCCCGCACCGTCGGTGCATGGGGCAATGAGCTTCTAACGTACCCTGGTCCGATCGATGTGATAGTTTGGCTCAGTATACAGCTCTCTAGAGTAAGCGGCGCCGGAATGAGTGACCGATCCGGTCAGATTCCGTAGTAAAGGCAGGTTGATATACGGCCCGAGTATATTACAAGCTGTGCACTCATGGTGTATTTCTCATTTTTTGCAATAATAATTTAAACTATACTACGAACATCGTCCTTGACGTTAATGACGCTGGCCACACTGAGCATGCTTGTCAGATTCACAAATCAGTGCGGAAGATCATTGGATATCACTGAAGTACGCAGCATTGCCGGGTCCTACGTTCGCAACATGTAGCAAAAAAAGCAGCGGCCCGTCGATGTAGTACACCATCAAACCTATTTTCATTCAGAGCACGAATATTGCTCATACGAGAAGGCGAAAGACCAGAAAACGGCCGATCCTTTGATTGCAGCCTGCAAACATTGTTTTCTCAAACTGCTCTTGTCGTTTACTCTTCGATGTCAGCCTTCCGACTACTCAAAAGATCATCCAACGCGCTCGTCATCATTTGCCTCTTATTCTCCATCTGTGGGGCATGCTGGAGCAGACTCAGGGCAACCCTCATCCACTTCTCAGCCTCTGTGCTGTGCGAGAATCTTACATGAAATGCAGCCCGGTTCCAAGCAGTCGAGACTAGCCAGCTGACTTCGTCTTTGGGATACTGCCCAGCAGAGAGGCCCACAAGGAGCTGGTTGACTTCCTGCAAAGGTCGAGAAGGCAAGGGTCACAACACCCACAAAAACTGTTTTCCTGCTTCGGACCGGTGTTAAGGGAACCGTCAGCTCCACCACCTTTGCTCCGTACCTAGCAAAGCTCCATGGTAAAGGAAGCAACACACGGCAGGTTGCTCTCGAGTTCGATGAGATACTCGTTTCATTCATTGACGCGCTGCAATGAGATTTCTAAATGGCGCCCGTGGTCTAGTCGCTGCTGAGTGGCCTGAAATTAGATATTCCCGAACCTCCTGCTGTTAGCACCAGAAACCAGGAGACCTATCAAAATGCTGGACTCGAAATGTTTCTGTTACCTTGTACGTGGCGAAGACCTCTGGGCCATCTTTGCACTTCAGGTCGGCGAGGTTGATGAGCTTCCTATTGATGGCGCTGGCAAGCGCGTAGTCCGGCATCGGCGCGCGCATGACCATCTGCAGGCTCGCGCGCAGGGCGGCCATCGCCACGTCGAGGCTCTCGGCGCCCGGCGTATCTGCTGCTTGCAGGCCCATCTGAAAGAGATGCTGAGCTGTCGCGCCGGGAACGCTTTGGACGCGCGCCAGGATGTCGATCTGGGCCTTGTAGTCCTTCTGCCGGCCTTTGAGGGTGAAGCTTAGGAGGCTGGTAAGACGAAGGCGGGGAAATCTCGCGAGTGTGTGTGAGGTCTCGCGAGTGTGTGTGAGGAGAAAGATGTTGTAAAATCGGGCTGACAACAGATAGTCAAGGCAAAAGCAGAGCAGAGACGCCTTCCCAGCAACTGCGACAACAAAGACTGTAAAACGCAGTAAGAAGCGCAGGGGGTTTCAAATCTCACTTGTACTGCAGTTCGGTTCCGTCGTCCGAACTGGAAGATGATTCGGTCCGTTTCGAGACTTCAGTGAGCACCTGTCAGAAGACCGGACTGACTCAAAGTTATCTATTGTTCGTTGTCCTTCACCATGCGCATCATGCCACGCATTTATTGCAGTGTGGAAGTTGAAGCATCTATCGGCATGCTGGAATACACGCACTCGGTTGCCCAGCTTTGCAAGCAAGATCTCTCACCGATCTGCATTTCTCCAACTTCGCTTCGACGGCTTTCAGCTCCTCCGCAGACAGACTTTCCGAAAGCTGCAATGCTGCGGTAGCTCCCAGAAGGTGGCTCAGCTTTACGGCTTGAAGATCTTCGAGACTCGGGTCCGGAAGTTGCTCGTAGAAGGCCGAAGCGCAAGCGAAAAGACGCGCGCAGAGGGGCCAGTCTCCTGTTCTCGCCGCCTGAAGCCCGCTGTTCCAAGCCGATCCGGCGAACCACTTGACTTCTTTGTCTCCGACCGTGCCGCCGCCGAAGAAGACCTCCTTTCCCAAAGTGTCGAGCCTTTCCTTCGCTTTCTCGTAGGGCTGAATCGTTCTGGTGAAGTCGCCTGGGGTCTCGTCGCCAGTGAGTTTGATCAGATTTCGCAGCAATATGGCTTCCTTTTCTTGCACGTCCTTCTTTTCAAGAGACAGATCCAGAAGGTGCGAGAGAGCGGAGACAGCCACCGACGTGTAACCGCAGAAAGTCGCCTCGTGAGACAGCAGCCTGTAAGGAACGATGGTAAGAAATGTTCATATCCGTAGATCATCCACATTGAGTAGCGGATACTTGGATATGGTAAAGATGCGTCGACCTGAGAAGTCAATCAGAGTCGAGAAAGTAGCGCCGCTCCATGAGTTGAGAATTCGAATCAGACGCGCTTGGAGCCAATAGCCATCTTAAGCCCGTAAATCAATTCTCTTCTAACTTTCTACGAGGTCACCTATCCTCAGCTTCTGAACGGATCAATCAGAAAAGGCTAAGATTGAGAACTTACTTGAGATAGTCGGCCTCGAAGTCGCGGCATGACATTATCTTTTCCACGATCTCTGCAGCTCTTTTCTCGTCTTTCTGCTGAACGGCAATCTTGAACTGTAGAACAGCAGACGCTGAAATGCCGGGCTCCGTCTGCAACAAAAGCCAACTCAGTGGTGTCGAATCCATAGGGTTCGTAGCCCCTTATTACATCTACAATTGCGGAGCGGGCCTCAAGTGCATGCAAGATATCTGAGATCTCTGCATCCACTTTGGGAGGATAACACGATCGAGTACCTTGTACCAACGTTGTGACTTATCTTATTGCAAGACCATGTTCCGCATCAAATGCTGCTTCTCTGCACATTGACGCACGCCCCAAAGTCCTGTTCCTGCCTGAAAGAATCCTGTTTTACAAACTTGACGCTGCGAATGCAGTGGATCTTTGTCTCACCTTGTCTGCTTGAGTGAGATACTCGAGGGCCCGATCAAACTCCTGAAGCCCCATGTGGCACAGCGCGAGCACTCTCATCGATTTGCCCCTGTTCTTGTTATCGGGGGATAAGAAGAGCAGCGCGGATTCGAAGAGGCTCAAGCTGACTTTGTAGTCCTTCTTGCTTGAAAAGATGGAAGCGCCCCGGTTCCAGAGAAGAGCATGAAGAGCACTCATTGCCTTGGCGTCCACCGGTTTCCCGTGCTCATGCGCAAGTTCCGCCGCCTCGGCGACATCGGCGCATATGTCCAGGGCGACTTCAAGATTGTCGTCGACCGAGGTTGCCAGGAGCTTTTCGACGATCCTGACCGGCAGTTGAGTGTCAGACGGAAAGCGCTTCAGTAACTGCAAAGGAAGGAGTCCAACTTTAGTCGAAGCACGTGGTAAAGTACTCACTCGACCGGAATAGATTGTCCTTCGCAGCCACCTCACAGCAAAACAAGTATCCGCAACGAACGTCCCGTCGTTGAAACGACTTGCCGACAAGTAAAGAAGTTTCTACAGGCACAAACCATAGGTTTTGCTGGATCTAACCGTAAGCGCAGATAAGCAGATCCAACCCGCAAGCTTTCATCCTTCATTCGACGTCCGTCTGCGATATTGAGTACCTAATGGATTTCTCACCTGTTTGTAGGCAGACTGAGCTGCCGCAACCTTTTTGCACTGCAGAATCATTTCAATTGCGTTCAAACACACTTCAGCAGATGCACCAGGGTGTCCGATCAAAGAAGTGAGCTCCGTCTCGGCTTCGTCAGTCCGCTCGAGGCCACAGAGCGCTTTCAGGGACAGAAAACTTGTGCTGGCGTGATTTGAGATGTTCTGGAGGACCGATATGGTTTGAAGGGCGGATTCAAAGCCCTCTTTGGATCCAGTAGCGATATGACTTGCAGCAAGATACCTGCAGTACAAAGAGAAAAGCATTGGTCATAGAGTGCGTAATCAAGTATGAAGGATAGCCTTACTAAAATTCCAGCGCCTAAAGCTCAACACTTGTCTGGGATCCATACACGTCAAGCGGATTGTGGTCATATCCTGCAGACTCTATTGTCTGCAAACCCATTACTTTCACAAAATTTAGGAGTGCACATCCATCACCTGAGGACTTTTGGGTACAGTTCTGCTATGCCTCCCGATTGATGACCGCTTTCACTCTGAGCCTGGTCATCTCCTGCGCTGCTACAGAGCTCTTGCGCTTGTTGGAAATACGAAATAGCTTCGGCGCTGGTATTCTCATTGGCGGTTGCCAATACAGATTTTCCAATCTCGAAGTAAGCCGCTGCAAGATCCAGCCGACGCTCTGGCAGAGCAGGAAGAGCACTTTTGGCTCTTCCAAGAAGGTTCAAAGCTAGAGCTCTTTGGGACAACTCGGAAGCGGTTTTTGCCCGGCTGGTGTAGATGTTGAATGCCAACTGCTGTTGTTCTTTCGCTTCCTCTGGCTGCAAGTGATTGCGGTTTTCATCCCCATACTTAATGCACAGCTCAGTTGCCTTGCTGAATGCTACCTCTGCCAGCTCCAGATTGAGTGAGTTCTCTGCCCAGATAGTCCCAGTCTGCACAAGACGACGCAGGTGTTGAATCCCTTATCTTTTCCGATGCAAATCCATCCGACTTGCTTTTCAAGTTGCAGTACAGGCACCTCGAAACGTTGTCATGCAAACGCACCATATGCAGAATATTGCTCTCTTTTGGAGTAAAGCAGTCTCACCTTGAAGAAGAAGTAGGCAGTCTTCAGGAGTCCACTTTTAATGTTCTTCGCTACCTCTCCTGCCAGAAGTAGGAGATCACAGGCAATGTGGCGCAATCTGGCATGAGTTTCTTCTTCTTGCTCTCGAAAGCCATCTTTTCGGTCGTTGGATATCTCAACACAGGTGTTCCAGATCCTGTAGCTCAATTTCCAGAGTGCCAACTTCTGCTCCTCCGTTAGTCGACTTCCGATCTCCGTGACCGCACCCCTCAAGCTCTTGACGGCAAGTGGATCAAGATCTGGCGCTTCTTTCTCGATTTGCGTTACAACTCCCTCAATCTTCTGCAAGCTCTTGTTGACATCCCCTCCTCCATCCGTTGCTTCTACCTCAGTAATTTGCATGTTGACTTCCAGGGGATGCTGTGCTAGGAGGCTTTCTTGAATGCTTGACGATAGTCTATTCTACCGTTCTACACAAGTTCTGGAAACAGTAGATCAGAGCATGTTAAGAGGCCTCCTTGTCGGATCGAGCTTCTACAATCTTGGAAGGCACCTCTGGGTTCACCATGGCAGAATTTTGCGCTTAAGCAGCAAAGTCATGACTGAAGGATCTAATGACAACTCAGAGACGAGAAGCGAACTTCGAATCAATGCTTGGCAACATTCATCAATCCATCTCTATTTCGTCAATTTGAGCTTCGCGAGCCGCGATTGACTCAGAGCTACAGCTCGGAGTCACAACGTACACGCCGAGCCGCCAGGAACGCGCTCGCGAGCGCGCGAAGCTGAACCCCTCCAACCCTGCGAAGGCCGCGGCCTGAATTGGCCGGGTGGGCGTCGAAGGGCGCGCGTACGTGACCGATCATGCGCATGGCCGCGGGCGCCGGCCTGGTAAGAGCTGTCAGGTCATGCTCGTTCCTCAGCGGCCGCGCTCACTCAAGCCGAGGAACTCCTCTGAAATACGCCGGGCTGTAGGTGCATAGCAACGCCGCTTTGTCCAAGATGGACGACGCAGAACTTGCAGCAGCAAAAGCTGCTGCCAACGCGGTAAGCAGATTTACCTTCCAGTTTTGTCTAGGTTAAGTACATAGGTACAGGTTGCTATTCGCCTAGGTCACTTTGTTTGAGTCTGTTATTTCATTAGGTCCTGATCTCTTGGGGCCTGTTTTTGCCAAACTTGTTGGAAGGGACAGGGACTGAAAACAACCATTTGGTGCAACTAGTTGCATCTCAGCATATAAGTGGTGCTTGATAGGATTAATAAAAGTAGCACTTCCTATGTCATGCCAAGTCTTGATATATAGCTGTCCGTGATTAGGAGCACTTTTTTGAAGGGTCGTGAACACAGATTCGTCAGGTAAAAAAGGTGTGCAAACCCCGGGGTGGAATTGGGAGCTTCAGACTTCTTCAAAGTCAATGCTTAAGGTGAAACGTGTTGAGTGAAGTAAAGTGAACAGTGTGTTCCTTTGTCCATTTGACTGAGCAACATTAATCTGGATCATCTTGATAGCGTGTAGGCAGAGTCGAAATTGGGGGCCCTGTGTCTTTGAAAAATTCACTTCTTTGGCTTCTCTGCTCTTCCTCTTGGTTTAAGTTGGGTAGCCATCCAAGAACGAGATGCAATGTTTAAGGTCCGCTAGTCAATCTTGAGGTCCCCTCTGTTGTTCTCTTCTGCTTGGTGATGAGGTAGGATGAGCGTCTGTACCACCAGTAGGCCTGGATTGTCTCGATGAAGACAAGGTTCTACCTTAATTGTATTTGCAGGCATTTTGGGATCACGTTGTTGGCAGTTGTGTGTCTGCCCTGGGCTTGGTCGCAGCGGCATACGTCGGCGCAAAAGTTTTGGTCGGCACCATCATCAAGAATGCGAACAGCTGACACTTGTTGCTGTGAGTTCGAGAAGAAGTATGCAATTGATGACTGGAGCAGGGAAGATCAATTGATTCCGCCCTGCTTGTATCATGAAGAATTGGTGACTTTGGTGAGCGAGGATAGCTGATACATCAATTTCTGAAGCTTGCTTCGCAGACTTATGATTGTTTGACAATGTCACAACTAATGCAACAGCCCTCCCTGCAAGCATTATAGAGTTTTTGTCATTCAGAACAAGGAGACGTACTCTCGAGACGTATGATTGACTACAACACGTATCGCCTTAGATACTGCTGCACAAAATAGTTGCTCTTGTGATGAAGGGAACACGCGGCGAAGGTCGACCTAGCCTTGTTGGAAACAAACTTTTAGGACTGTGTGTGCGTGCATACGTTTAGTTGCTTCTTTTCAATGTTGGGATTCGACTTCGATGGACAGAAATTGCCAGATCCAAAGCCGACTGCAGCCCAGGATTACTATGAAGCCTACGTCGAATGTTTAGCTAAAGATACCCATGGGCGGGCCTGCGACATATGCATGCAGTCATGATGGTTCGGGAATGTCACTGGTGTATTATTCTATGACAAATTTATTGCGCGCATGCAAAGATTTGAATGTCGGAAGATATCATGTCAAAAAAGTGCAGACATGGGCCCGCAAACTCGATGGATCATCATGATGATGATGTCAAGTCCTTCTGGGGCGCGGCCACAACAGGTGCATCGGGATCCATTTAGATGAAGACCTATAAACGGTCAGATCCTCGTTCGAATGCACAACCTACTTCTGTACATGCGAACTTTTGGCTGGAAAAAGCTGCATGCACCTTAGCTTCGCCTCGAGGGTTCGGAGTCAAAGACCCGATGATTTGTTAGGCGGTTGTTATTGACAGCTCTTCCCGGAACTTGACGCTTTCTTATAGAAAGATAATGAGCAATTGAACTTAGCTACCTCCTTTTAGCCCTGGCAAACGCTGCCTCTGCATAGACCACAATCACTGCCAATAGAATGTCTGTAACCAGCAAGCTGCACGAATCAAACACAAACTTCGGCGCAAAGATCGACCACACCATCAGGTGCCGCCGCAAAATCGCCACGGTTCCCGTCGTCACCAAACACGCGAGCGCGCGCGCGAGCCCGTATCCTAGCACTACTCTCCCAAGCATCACTCGCAGATCCGCCCGTTCCGGCCACTTGAGGGCACGCCGAAACACGAGCAGTGGAAGCCCGAACGCGACCAGAATGTGCGCCGCGAAGGTGTTCGCCGCGAGGAGCGCGCCCGAACGCGCGAAGCTAAACCCCTCAAACCCCACGAAGGCCGCGGTGTACTGGAGGGCGTCGAAGGCGCACCGGTGGCCGGTGCAGAAGAACAGCTGGGTGGTGTGAATACTCCACTCGCTCCCCGCAGCGGCGGCGCCCACTAAGCGGGCCGCTGAATTGTGCATGACACTGAGAGGACTCTCTATAGACCTGGCGCTGCACGATGTCGCTCGTGCGCGCTTATCCCCGTCAGAAGAGCGGCCGCTGCCGGTCCCTTCTACAGGTGCCTCAGAAGTCCGGCCTAAACTGATCTTCTGACCTTCGTCGGACTCAATTTGACCCGTCTCACTTTTCCCCAAATGCGCTCGGATTGCTCCTCCCCCGACGCTCTTCCCGACTCCATCTCCCTCCACCTCCGTTCCGGTTCCGTTCTGGGCTGCAGACGCCGGAAGGCCCTTGTCTCCGTCCACCATCGCTTGGCCCCTCTCCGGAATGCACACTCGATCTCCGGACAGTGACTGTAATCTAACGGAGCACGCCGCTTGCACTGCCGCCGCAACCAGAAGAGCGGGTCCCTTCTTGCCGAGCAGCATTACCAGCCCGCCCCCGACGACTGTAAGTAGAGCGACGACCCGCGCAGCCGTTGCATCAACTGCCGTCGAATCATCTGATCTCTGCTCCGCCTCGGTTGGAGTCCGCTCTACTCCGGCTTTGACTACGCCGTTAGCCGGGGCTACACTGGGTTTGGTTAAGCCGGTCGACGCGGGGTTAGCGCTCAGAAGCCGGCCGTTCCTGCCGCTCGTGTCTGTCACGCCGTTCTTACGGTCCCCTGCGCTCTTTTCTTGCCCGTTTGCATAACACTCTTTTCCAGATATCCTCCTCCCTACCTGGATGTCGACTACCGAGGCCACAAGGGTGGCAAGGAGAGTCGCAGCCAGGCCGTAGACCGCCCGGGGAAGAAGCAACCGGGCGACCATCTGGTGCGGGGGCAGCAGAAACTGGTCGCCCAAATCTTCAACCAAGCGGTAGGCAGCGACTAAGAAATACTGCAGTGCGCAGCACATTTGGAAGGCCCGCCAGAGCCTCGTTTTGCTGGGCAAGTGGCGGGACAGCAGGCGGAAGAGCAAGAGAAGCGGAACGGAAGTCGACAGGGCTGCCAGAATCGACGCGAGTGGGGGGCTCAGGGTGGCTGCGCTGGTGCCCCTCTGTTGTGACGAAGGGCTGCGCAGGCCAAGGAAGGCGAGGGCTGCGTTTGCCGCGAGGAGCAGGAGCGCCTGTTGGGAGAGGGGGGAAAGCGCGTCAGGGGTGGGTACTAATGGCAGGACACATTTTTCTCCGGCCGCTTTCTGTAATCGCATATGAAATGAAGCTCTCCACACGGTCGGCTTGCCGGGTCTGCTCCAGGTTGCATGCTGGCAACCCACAGGAGTTCTTTCGTAAGGTTCGTCGTGATAAGGGAGGTAGGCCTGAAGCAGCCATTAAATCCGTAAGTATGCCCGGTAGGACAGTCCCTACCGAGGACAGCAATATACATTCTCTCACAAATCGGTCAATTACCAGTCTTCACGGTCGATTTTCATCACCAGCTTGATCATCAGCCTGGAAAACCTAACGGAGCATGTTCTCGGGTCTAGCGTCATCGACGAAGTTGAGAACATCACAAGAGGCGGAACGTGACTCACGTCTTGCACATGCACGCGGCTTCTAATTCTCACAGCATCTCGAAGGTATAGAGCAGCGGTAAGGGCGGTCAGGCCGACAGCAATCTTGCCCTCCGCCACTGCAAGAGAAACAGGACAGGTCGGTGTCCGGTCTGCATGAGGCTGAAACGTACAGAAGACAAAAACGACCAACGTGGTTGTGTTGTCAACTGCTTCTCGTAGCTTTTCTCTAACCTCTGCTTTCCATTGGACAACCTTGCGATCTTTGAAGGTGATGAGAAACGTTGGGTGGTATTGTGACATCGTGTGCGGCAGACACGCACGAATCAAGGCAACTTCGTCAATTATCGCCCTCTGCCGTATTCAAGCATTGCAAACCTTGATTTATAATTTTATCCCAACATAAGAGCAGAAAGACGGCATGCTGAAAACGATATAAATACTGCATTCAACGTTTGGGCACGCTAGACTGACAACAGAAACCTGCACAAAACCATCGAGCGTGAAGTAGAAACTTACTGATGCAGTTGTCCGAGATCAGGCTCGCTGCGTGCATGCACGTGAACAATAGCAGCCCCCAGTCTCTCCTCCTTCCCACTCGGCCCCGCCATAACAGACCAAACCCTTCCGTTCCATGTGCTGTCGCAGACACGTGGCTTCCGAGCACGTGCCGGCTGAGCACCGCAACCGACGCCAGCGCCGCCGCCCCCGCGCCCATCACGAGCGCATGCACACCGTCCCCAACGAGCTCATTCACACCGCCGCTTACTGAGATCCCCGCCGCTTTCTGCGACACCCAATCTTTCACCCCTCCGACGGCCGGAGGAACGAAGAACACGG